AACAGCAATTTTTTGTTGAGCAAATTACATTAAATCAAGAAGGCGGCATTTTATGCTTTCTAAATTATATTTTCAGGCAGTGAATTTTTATATTAAATTAAATATGCTTTGAAGTTATCTATTGCATAATATATATCATTTTTTTAAGGAGATTTATATATATACCACACAAATTTTATGTAATTATAAAACATATATCAATATTTTAATATTTATTTAGCATTTTAATGTGACAACCACATCAATATGTGCACATGAAGAGGTGTATTTTACATCAGAAAAATTGATATTGATAATATTTTTGTTGTAATATTAAAAATTTGAGTGATGTATAAGAAAGTATTGAAGTTTGATGTTGGATATGTAAACACATAAGACTTGCATGGAGGCATATACGTGAATCAATTCCCTTAAATTTAATGTGAATATAACCTATGATGTGATTTTAAGTCTTAAGCTTGAATTTAAATTAAAAAATATGTAAGTGTAAACTACATCCTTAGAATGCCCCAGTCATTATTTGGACAAGGTGTAATACCCCAAAAAGTCTCCTATATCTAAATATGATTGAAAATTCACCGTTGCTAAAAAATGGAACAACTTTTCACAAAAACCAAAATTAACAAATCATCAAACCAAAAAATTCACACAAACACAATGCACAAAAAATCCAATTTGAACTTCGGGTCCGTCAGAAATTGAAGTACTCTCACAAGGCACCAACTTGATGAGACCAGATTGATTGACCTCTGACCAACCAGGGTTGGTTTTGAATATCAATCCTTTAGACTAAGTGTCTTCTCAACTTAATATATCGCACACTGAAAGAAGTTTATTTTGATCTATTGGATGTTGGAGCACACCCCACTTGGTACCATCGTGATGTGATCAAATTGGTTGATTTCATATTAATCAGGGCTGATTTTGGTTGTCAACCCTTTGGGCTAATAAACCCGAGATGTGACGAATCACACATGTCCCTTTCAGTTTAGCCCACGTAACACTTATTTGAGCCTTCTTCAAATCCATTGACATATTACACGAAACAATCCTTGGGCTAATAAACCTGAGATGTGACGAATCACACATGTCCATTTCAATTTAGCCCACGCAACACTTATTTGAACCTTCTTCAAATCCATTGACATATTACACGAAACAATTTTTTGAATTTAAAAATTATAATTATTTATTAGTTAGTTAAATCAATATCTCATATGTTATTACTTCAGCTAATTGGATGGATGATATGTATCATACACTTATCATGTGTAATCCATCTAACAATCTTAGAGACTTGTTTTGATTGGATTTTAAATTGTGTGTCTAAACATTACTCTAATGATCTGTTTGGGTTGGCTGCAGCTTTTTAAAAAGTTGGTAATAAAGATGTGGTGGAGAAAATAATTTCTACTGTGAGAATTAGAAATATATTATTTTCTAAAAGATTAGATAACAACTTTCTTATAATCACCATATTTTAACATAGTTAGGTTGAAAAAAAAATTTACAACACAAATTGTTAAAAAGTAGCAAGAAAGCAGTTTCCCTAAAGTTGAATTTAAATTTGGTTATATTTAAAATTTAATAATGGCTGAACTAAATATATAATTTGTAGCATTAACTTTTGATTTGACTTTAGATTTCCTAACATTCAAATTTGAATTTAATTGTTCAAACCAATTTATCCCATGATGTCAATACACTAACTTAATTCATTCAGTTTTTTCTATTCTCCCTAGCTATGCACGTGTATTGGCCGTATATAGTTCCAACCTAGGATAGTTAATTCATCTCCAGAGTTCTACTTCGCCTTTCTCTCGGGACCAGAATTTCTTCCATTGTCTTTAACCTTAAGCTATATAGTTCCAACCTAGGATGTGTTTACAGACAACTTTTGGGCTCTACGCATTTAATATGAATTGAAATATTGAAATGAGTAATTGCAATTATTTCACTAATTAGAAAGAATTTAAAACTTAACCATTAGGTCCAAATTTGGAATGCCATATGAGAGATTTCATTATAATATGACATGTTGTATGACATGTTATAAAACATTTGATGTTGTTCATTTACTTCTAATATGGTTTGCCTTACAACCATGATAGGACCTAATTGAGGAAATGGAAGAGTCAAGCAATACTGCATGATAGACCCTTTATTTTGAGTTATACCTCATGACTTAACTGATTTTAGAACCATTTAACATTCTCATATGAACCGTCAAGTTCCTTGGTGAAGTTGTCCTACCAAGCTGACAAATTGGCCAATTTGAAAAATCAAACAACACCTTCCAAGTATAGTTTCGAGATGAAATGGTAAACTACTCGCAAGGTCGACTAAATAGTAATATAAGACCTCTTCAACTAGCTTAATTAGCACATTATGCTTAATAGCTCTTCAGTGAGTATGAAATTTGATTGAGAACACCTAACCACCTGACAAAAAGATTAAGATCACCTCATTATTCAAGAGATCAACTGATTCAATAATAACTAGCTCTAAAGTTGAATTGATTAGTGTTAAATTATCTCAAAAGTCAAATAAGTTGATAAGAATTTGACACGATGAGCTTTTGGGAAGCAAATATCAAAATCTAATACTGTTTGAGATAATGTTAAATGTCAATGTGAAAAGACGACATGAAATAATAAATTGGTGAACTTTTGAGATTCGTACCTAATGAGTAGCTATTTTTTAACATATGAACGGTTCACTTATAAACAGAGGAACATTATTGCAGAAAATGAATCAAGATCCCTAACCTTCCCCTCTTTGTTTTGATTCTCTCATTGAGATATGAGAGAAAATTAGACAAAAAAGAATCTCAAACTCAGACATACAGACAAAAAATAAAAGCAATAATAAAAAATGATAAATTTACCAACTCTTGAGAGAAAATGATTTAAATTAATTAATATTTTAATTAATTAATTTAATACTAAACAATCAAAATCCTACTGGACTGCTCACATAAAAAGCTCGAAAATTATTTACCGGATTAATACCAATACAATTATAGAAATAGTTAATTATATAAAAATCACTTGGGACATTCTTATTTACAAAAAAAAAAAAAATTTCTCTCAAACTTTTTGAACCATCAAACCAATACATTTACATATGTCCATTGGGATGTTATCCTGAATTTTGATAAATGAGTAATATATTAAAAAAATGATTGCAATAGATTGCTAAACTTGTAAATAACAATATTTCAAAGTGTCATTTAACAAACCTTCCTACAAAACAAATTTCAAGGGCACTTTCATAATTTTTTCTTAAAATTTCACTTGGTTTAAAATTCTACCAAAAGATGAACCAGTGGTGCTCCTTGCAACGCCGAAAAAACAAAATGGTTGGCGCTGACGCGGATTCACAGGGTCGGGGCGGGAGATGCCAGTTGCTGCCTTGCCTTGCATTCCGATTAAAAAACGCCACTAGATCGTCTTCTGTCGCCATTCCTTCTGCTTCCTCGCTTCTTATAAGTTCTACCTCCTCCGTCCATAAACCATTTGCTAACACTTCAGACTTTCGGATCTCTGCCCTGGTTTCCTCCGGCGACCATGGGAGGTGATCATGGCAGCGCGAAGGCCGATATCTCCTTTGCTGGGAGATTCGCAAGTAGCGCCATCGCCGCCTGCTTCGCGGAGGTAAGCGGGAGGCATATACGATATAGGGCCCTTTTGATTGAGTTGCTACCGCATATATCAAGGGTTTTGTTTTTTGTTTTTTGGTCTGGTCGATTGATCGCTATTGCTTATGGTTTTGAGTTGGATGATCACACTTGAGAATATAAGGGAACTAGAGAGCCGGTTGGGATTTTTCATGATTCGGTTGTGTTTTATCTTTAATGCTGGCCTCTTTGAACAAAAAGGCTCTTGAGTACCGTATATGATCATTCAATATAAGGTTTTATTTGATGTCTTTATCTCAAGTCCACGTGTCTTTATAATGCTTGCAATCAAATTCTGTAGTTTGCATGTGATTGCATCATTAACTTGAAGATTATTCGTTGGTCGGATTTACTCAAAACTTTGGTTATCTCAATATAATTATGTGATTGTAGTTTTTGTGGTGGTGTTTTGGAAATCTTGACTGTGGGACGCAGGGGATATGGAGTTTGAGATAATGATTATGTAATTTTCACATGATTTAGCAGAAATGGTAAAATTATTTTATATTCTGGGCTTTAGTCAATTTGGGCTTTGAATTACAGCTAACGAAATGATGGAGAGTGATGATTACACTAGTTTGGCTATTCCTGGTTCTAGTTTAGGCTTAATCAAACGAGCCCTAACCTTCTTTTTGTGAACATCTGTTTATACTTGTGTTTTCATGGTTCTTTTTGCTCTTTCGTTAGCAGGTCAGAAATGGGTTTACCTGTTAGTTTCATCTACTTATAATTGGATACGTGTTCTCTTATGTTCTTTGATTAGGTGAGGATCTTAATGCTTATAATAGTTGAGAACTAGTTATCTTTTTTTTCCTTTCTATAATTCTTTTTTAAATGTTGGCGGTGTTTGTCTGTCTTAGATTTACGTTAAATCGGATTTATCAAATCCCATACATCAGGATTTATCCAATCCCTGCTGTGACGAAAGAATTTGGGGACGACGGCAAAATAAATTTGTCTTGCAATCGGATTTATGAAACCTTGAATTACAGCTAACAAAACGATGGAGAGTGATGATTACACTAGTTTGGCTATTCCTGGTTCTAGTTTAGGCTTAATCAAATGAGCCCTAACCTTCTTTTTGTGAACATCTGTTTATACTTGTGTTTTCATGGTTCTTTTTGCTCTTTCGTTAGCAGGTCAGAAATGGGTTTGCCTGTTAGTTTCATCTACTTATAATTGGATACGTGTTCTCTTATGTTCTTTGATTAGGTGAGGATCTTAATGCTTATAATAGTTGAGAACTAGTTATCTTTTTTTTCCTTTCTATAATTCTTTTTTAAATGTTGGCGGTGTTTGTTTGTCTTAGATTTACGTTAAATCGGATTTATCAAATCCCATACATCAGGATTTATCCAATCCCTGCTGTGACGAAAGAATTTGGGGACGACGGCAAAATAAATTTGTCTTGCAATCGGATTTATGAAACCTTGAATTACAGCTAACGAAACGATGGAGAGTGATGATTACACTAGTTTGGCTATTCCTGGTTCTAGTTT